CAACGAATCTAGATGAAATTTGCCACAGTTGTAGAACAATGTGGAAGAACACATAAACTAAATACACATGGTCGTGGGCAAAAGCTTGTATAAATATTTGTATACATTATTTCCTAAAGGAATAGTTTACATAGAGGTTACGGCCGTGAGGACTTGGCACCGCGTGGTCATTATCAACACAAAACAATTGTTTTTATTCTACCCACAGCCGCGCAGTCGTCAATTATCTACAATGACTTGTATCTAAATAGATTAAAATGTTATATTTAGATTTGTTGACGATTCACATTTAAATAGATATGTAGAAACTTGTTTATAATAATGTATTAGAAATATTATACTGGTGTTTTAAAGTTTAGTACTTGCGCCCCCGATTCCGACCGCGTGGAATTAAAAAACAAAATTAAGTAGCCTATGTATTCTACAGAATATGCTCTATATCTATGCCAAATTTCATTAAAATCCATTCAGCAGTTTAGGCTACAAACTCTAACAATCATCCATCTATCAAAACTGTTGCATTTATAATCGCACGTATCTGATTTAAAACTTCTTTAAACAAGTCATTAGAATTAACTATGAATCTGAGAAATCAGTAGATGTCTCCTAAAATATATACATTAAGATAGATCCATTCATCATTTTCATATATTTGAAAGTTATCTTGTTGAGGATAAGGGAGGATTTCCACTTCAAATTTCAAGATTCAAACCTCCCACTCGACTGAATCATATCACTCAAGTGAAACGCTAACCACTGAATCACTCATACACTTATGAAAGTAACTGAGTAACAATTACTCAGAAATACACAAAAGCCAGTAAACCGCATACACAAATGTATACACTAGCCTACATTTTTGCATGACCACGAAGGTAATAACAGTCGATACCTTGTCTTACAATCTAAGTTTACGAGGGTAACGCGGACTGCATAATACTGGCCTGATTTACGAGATTACCTTCATTTAAATTTATCTAAACTATGAACTATAAAAGACTTGTTAGTGCTATTTACTTAGTGGGTAACAACCAGACTGTTAACGTAAAATAAAATAAATTTAGTTTGTAATTCAACCGTAAAAAGTACAAAATAAAGGACATGTTTCTTTTATACAATTTGATTTTAGATTCTTCTTAGTAGAGTATTTGTAGGCAATTTGATCGCGCAATTTACTCCATCTCGGTCGACTCGAAATGTTCGATTAGCGATTTATTATATGGATTAGGCGTCACAAGCTGATGATTTTTGGTTCAATTTGTATTTTTATGAAATCTATGTAAGTCGTAAAAAAACCGAGAGAACTAGAGACCCTTATAATGTGGACCTCTATGGATTGTAAGCACCTTAGTATTTTAAATTGATAATTTTTGACTGTCTAAGAGCGGCAGCTGCCCCTTGGTAAAGCCAATGTAAATTGATATGATTATTATATGAACAATCTTTCCTTGGGTTGTTAACTGTTTGAAAATCAATTGAAATGTTAACTGATTGCGGAACATTGAAGCGTATAAAGGTAATGTCAATACTTGTAGTAAGCAAACCCGCGGATCGAGCATAACTTGCGTAATCTAAAGATGGACCTAACCACGGTACTGTCACGTAATTTACGAACTTATAAAGAAGTAATTGAGTTTAAGAAATGTAACATTACTTCCTTGAAAAGATTCATGATTTGTTACAAATCAATTTGTTATTTGAGTTAAACAAAACTATTTAATAAAGTAAGAACTGAAGGCGCCATTCTTTAAAATCGAATTCAAATTATTTCGACTCCAGCTTTTGTTTATTGCTAATTTATTCATTTGAATCTCGTTTGTAGACAGTTGTTTTAGATTATTGCCATATTCTATGCATTGTCTAGATTTTTTAAACGAAACACTCGTAATTAACAAGATTGATGACAGGAATATAAAAAAAACTTGTGAAATACTTTATCGTATATTGTTATAACAGACTATGTACAAAAGGCTACATTGTACTAAGAGATAATACGCTAATTGCAAGGAAAAAGGACTTTGTATTACCTTTAGTAAATGTCTGATTATTCAATTCTAAGATAACTCTAGTCATTACAAAAATTCAATCAGCTTATAGTCATAAATCCAAGAAAGTATACGCAAACACATTGTTACGGAAGAAAAAGCATTTTATTATACGAAAGGCCGTGAGAATCGTCGCCACGCCTACGCGAAACGATTTCTTAGAACATTTATCATTACAGTAAAAGATGTGTGGCTTTTTTGTTTGATGCACATTTTTTGTTGAAACCGGAATTTTCACTTCAATACTTGACCCAAGTGATAGTCTTTTGACCTCTGATGTCGTATTCTTAAAGCGTGGACCTGAAACTATCGCACAACTCTTTAGTCTCTCTTTGATTGCTATGAGCTTATATGTGCGCACACTACTCGATTTTTAGTTGTGCAACTAAACAGTTGAATTGCCTGCGAAACAATCGACAATCGCACAACTGATGTGACGTAGTTAAGTCAAAGGTGACGTCCCCTCTTAGTAATTTGTCTCTATCTTCTTTTAGACAATAAAATAGTAACGACGTAATTCTATTTCAATACTAAGTCTACCCATTCCCGCCAAAATGGCGCGCTTATCTTTACTAATATAATTTTTTTGTATGTATGGCAATAACTTAACAACTACTGGACCGATTTTAATAATTCTTTCACCGTTAGAAAGGTAATTTATATTTTAATTTCACGCGGGTGAAGTCACAAGCTACAGCTAGTCTTGAATACTTTTGACATTGACAGATGTTATAGGGACGGACGTGTATACCGATTATCTAGTGTTGCCCCGCTATTCCGGCATCGATTTATTCACTGCATTCGATTATGATTGGTTTCCGTGACTTCCCATATGTAAATAAACATTTCAAAGCCATATTGCATAGTACCAATGTTCAGTTAATCTAACAAATCGATATACTGGTTAATCCAATCTTTATTATAACTTATCAATAGACTGTACAGTCGTGTCTTAGTATGATAGTCTTGTAGATTATATCAAAACTACAAATCAAAAATAGATTAACTAATTTATTTGTACAGACTTCAAATAGACTCACAAGTAATAAAGCGATGTTACCATCATAAAATACATATCCAAGGACAATTATCGCTGTAATATTTCTCGTAATAACAAAACTGAATCAAGTCACGTACGGTCGAGGCTTCGCTCAATTAGAGAGTATATCTCTTACCGCGATCCGCACCCATAAGGAAGAGGCTTATCTTAAATTTCTAATCTTGTGACTCATATAATATGCGTTCGCGAAATTACTGTTTCCTACATTCCATACTGGATGTAGAGGTCATTTTCTTCTTTAATGTATCTGTAGGTGTGTAATTTGTTATATTTAATACTAGTGGTTGCTCGCGACTTCGTCGGCGAAATTGAAAATTTAATATAGCTTATGTTACTTAGGGATTGAGTAGCTTTGTAATAGCGGAGGCATTTTTAAAATACGTATCTTACTAAATAAATGAGAAAGTTTATGTGTATGGATGTTTGTTAGTGTTTGTAGCAAACTGATCTCGATGAAATTTGGTATAGATGTAGAGGATAGTCTGGAAGAACACATAGGCTACTTACATTTTTTTTATTTCACACGGATGGTGTCGCTGGCGAACACTAGACTATACTAATATTATAAAGAGGGAAGATTTGTAATTTTGAGTTTGTACTGAGTCGATTTCAACATTTTTTTCACCATTAAAAAGCTACGTTATTAATGAGTAACACGGGATATAGTTTTTTTTTTTTTATTTTTTAATTTGACGCCGGCGAAATCACGGGCAACAGCTAGTCAGTTACTCGTATAATTTGGTTAAGTGAAGGTTAAATTATTAATATAACCGTTACCCTTTTAACCGTTAACCTCTGCGAGTAGCATTTAGATAAAGAACTAACTAAAGTACTTCTAAATGGATAAAGAACTAACTAAAGTACTTCTAAATGGACAATTCGAGATGTTAAAATTCTAAATTAGTCCAGTTAAGGTTACCGTTAGAATACTGGTTTTAAGTGCGTTATGAATATGATCTGTGGGTGTCGACAATGTCTTTGTACGGTTACGATGACGTCTGTATTTGTAATTTGCGACATATTAGCTTATCTAAATTTGAAAGATGAATATTACTTAAAAAAAATGGAAATTGTTAGTGATCAATTAAACTTTACGGTGCCAAATTAATTAACGTGATTTTTTATATTTTAAATACAGTATTTACTGTTATAAAAAATAAATGTACCGACGAAGCAGTTTTGGCTTCAAATAAACGCCATCGTAAAATTAAACTCCCAGACTTCCATTCTGTTAATTTGCAGATTAGTTAGATTAAAGAAAAATGCAAATTAAAAGGTTCATTTGCATAAGACAAAAAAGGTCCGTTCAAATGTAATAAGCAATAAAAAATATTGTCATAATCCGAAATTAATAATGCGACAGATCGTAATTTAGCACTAAAATCGCACCGACCCCGGCGAGGCTCAGAAACTGTAACACAATCACATATTTTACGTTTTTTGTACGAATTTAATTGGCTAAGAAAAGAGCCGAGGCCGGTCTCAGCGGGGTAACTTCCAAATATATTTAAAAAATCCTCAGAACTCTCCCATTACTTATGTCAAAGACGCAACAGGACGCGAGAGCAGTTCTGCAATATTAAGCGTGAGATACGACCTCCTTCGCACTGACCCACATATCGATCCGAGCGCAACGCTCTTTATGATGACTTTTTGAAAAATGTAGTTTTTAATTCTGCACAGGGCCAGGTAAATTGAATACCAATACGAGGCTCTCCTTAACTGTAACGCTTATAAATTGCAGTTTCTTATGAGAGACCGACGGAAGCCTGTCGATATTTTAAGCTAAATTAATGCAACCGCATATAAGAAATCAGTATCGTCATCTTTACGCTAAAACGAATCGACCTTTATGAATTTACATATATTAAAATTGTAATTTTCTCTTGTTGCAGTCTTTCTTCGGGCGGACGTACAACAACTTATCGTCGATATCGGAATGCAAGAATAATGGTGAATGCGTCATCAACAAGAAAAATAGGACCGCCTGCAAAGCTTGCCGGTTACGGAAATGTTTGCTCGTAGGGATGTCCAAATCCGGCTCGAGATACGGACGAAGATCTAATTGGTTTAAAATCCACTGCCTTTTACAAGAACAGCAACAACAGCATATACAACAAATGCAAACAAGTAAATCGCCTCCTACATTCAATTCAAACATTAATCCTTCATTCTTACCAACAAACCTGCTCCCAGCCGCCGCGTTAGCTGAATATTACAAGAGTTCAGAAAAGATACCTTTTAGTGAAGAAGTAACCAGACAAAGCGTCTCACCGTCTGACTCCGGGGCTTCATCAGCTGATCCTGAAGATGACAATAGTTCACGAAGTACGAGTGGTTTAAGTATTTTTAGACCAGCATCATCTCCATGTAGTGAAAAAGATGTACGATTGCAGGCGCTTAGAAATCAAAGTAAAGAATTGCGGAGAAAAAAACCTTCCTTGCCACCTTCTCCTTTTAGTGCAGCTTCAGCTGCTCCTAATTATTCTTCTAGAGCTACGTCTTTTCTACCTTTACCGACCGCGATACAAAACTTTAGGTCAATGCCTCCAGGAGTCCCTGCATGGCCGCGTAATGGCGGCGATCTCTTGCTCCACTCTCCAGCCGTAGCCGGCATAGCTATAGAACAAGATCAGCCTATAGATTTATCTATTAAATCCGCAGTACTCTTCAGAAGTCCTAAAAGAGACGAAGTAAGCGATTCCGAACCAGAATTAAGTATTGATTTAAACGACGATAACGCTAAGGAAATTATGAAGAATCCTCTTGATTTAAGTCTCGTTCCGAAAAGGACAGAAGAAGTTCCGATGACTGGATGAGAGTAGAATTTCTTTTGTTTTTATCAGAAAGGGTTTGTCCCAATATTATGTTTTGTATTGAAAGTTATTCCTAATTAGGTATACATTAAAAATGACTATCGAATTCTGCCATACAGTATTTAAGTGATTTTCTACTCTTCTTGTTTACCTGATCTTTCTACCATTATTTAGTTAGTTGCATAAAATTATGCTTTCAATGTAATGAAATATTTTACTTTTAAGACAAAAATTGTATTATAAATCGAAGTGTTATTGGTGTAAATATTTGAGATATGTACGAAGTGTTATATACTATGTGCCAGTGTTAATGCCAGTTTATGTTATGCCAGTGTTAGATATTACCAATTAATTTTATATAATGGGATGAAGGCCAGTCGAGTGAAGCTCAAAATTATTAAATGTACAAATAAATTTAAGATAAATTGTATATTATATCTGATTTGCGACAAGTTATCTAAGTATTTATTTTAGTGTTTAGGCCAGTTTACTGAGTCATTATAATTGATTAAGCAGCAATTAACATAATTCGTCAATATTTTAATTAGTCGATTTATGTTTGGTTTTTTTTCTCGCATGTTACATATCGTTATTTGTTTCGTTTGTTGAAGATATTTGATAAATTTCTTTAATATGCCATTTAATGATGTTAATTTTTAGTTTTATATTTACTCTGTACTTATTTGCTTAAAACTTTTCTAAACATGAATTGAAGCTTCATTTGTAATTATATTTAGTTACCAAATGTGTAATAAAAAAAAAGTAATTAGCAAATTAAAAAATACACGGACCCAAGTTTGTAGTTTACTGTCCGCTTGAAACATTTGAACCCGACTTTGCGGAGCAGTCCGTTTATGTTGGCCCTTAAATAAGGAATAAGAAAATTAAAATACAAGAACAAATTAATGTCATTAAAAATGTAATTGCCTATTTTTGTAAAAATAAAACGTAGTAAAATTTATTAAGATAAAGTCAATATTAAAATATGACTTAATAAATGTTAACTTTTACATTCCTAGCTTACAAGTTACTTAATTGGTTGTTATTGTTTTCAGTGTGATATTGATATTATTATGTGTTTTTTTACATTTATAAAATAAATCTTAATATATTTCATGAAAGAATAAACGTGAGTGCCTTTATTGCGTCGTTTCATTTAAACCCTGTGACAGAAAAAAAACGAATCCAACAGCCGAATACTGAAACACTTTCTTAAATGATGAGTCCAAAGTTTTAAATCGCATTAAAATTTTAGCGTCAATCAGATTGTAAGCAGCTCTTAGCACTTCGTTTCGGTATTCGGCCGTTAGAAGCCATATTTTCGTAGAATAATAGTTTTCTAGTCTAAACCAGGATGTCAATATATGTAAAGAAATGATATATAAAAAACTACTTCATTTAACATTCATTTCTAAAAATATTTTTGAGGTTATAAAATATTATAAAACAAATAAAAGCTAGTACAAATAATAGAAGCCCACAGTTTCAATGATTTTAAACAACACTCAATTACTTATGAGTAGATCGAACAATATAAATTATAAATGCATTTATAATTGTTACTAATAAAGAAATACTGACTCAGAAACGCCCCTTAACCTTGATCATGTGCATTAAATGCGGCCATCTTGGACTGACATAAATTATAAATAATTTACGTAAATATTCAAATCATCACATGCTTGAAGGGCAATGTTAGTGTAAATTGGATTGGGCGGGGATAGGATGAGTAGGCAGGGGAACTCCTTTTTCTGTGCGTCTTTTCCTTTGTTCATTAAAGGTCGCGTCTACAAATGGGGATGTCTATGATCAGCGTTTCTCTATTTTAAATAAGTAAATAAATATTTTGTCGAATTCCGGTGACCGCTTGCTCGTTTGTCACCTTAAAAATCTGTGACTAAAATCTATTCGTCTATTTCTAACTAAGACTAAATAAAAATCAAAGTGTTAAATATAAGCAACTAAGATAATGTAAAAAAAAACATTCGTCATATAGTTATTTAATTTCGCAATGGTATGAAAAAAATTCACCATATAAGGACTCTACTTTTTTAATTTTATTTTAACTTAAGTAGTAACTAAGAACAATATCAGAGGTAGAACATATTTTCCATGAAACAATAACCTCATTGTATCTTAAAGTTACTGATCTGTTAAAATGGATAGGTCAATGCATGGAAAAGACAGTTTTTTCTTCATTCCGACTTAAAAACGCGTCTTAATAATGTCAATTGAATCTATCTTTATTATTATTTCGAATTGTAACCACCGAGATTAACAGAAACAGTCAGCGCTAAAATTTATACCACAGTTTATACCCTGTCCATTTACACAGGTCAGTGTTTAAATTAAACAGTTGTTTACAGACTCAATAATTTTCACTACTCGAATAACACGAGGTTTTTTAACCGAGAGTTACATTTTAAAGGTTAATCAAGTAATATTAATTATGACATATATCGCAGTGATTATTTAACGTTACGCCTTACAACGCAATCAGAGCAGTCAGAATGCCGAAAAATATAATGCACTCATTTGTAAACTCGTAACTGTCCGCCTATCCTAATAAGGCTCGTACACAATAAAACCTTAACTGCTTTAATTGATATTATTAAGTCTTTCCGTTCTCAACACGACACCTATCAGTGTACACTCCTTGCAAAATAAAATAGGTCTTAAGTATTATTAGATAAGGCGGTAATGTATTTTTTTAAAGACACAACGATTGTGGTTCCGAAGGGATTTTTGTCACTCAATTCATGCGAAGTCATGTAGCAGAGAGGTAACAAATCATCATTTTTTCGAAACGACCAGCAGTCAGTCATTCCCCGATATAGCCGGGCTGTTTACGCGGGCGAAAAGAAATGTTGCTCGTTAGCGCGGATAATGGGAGCTTTGCATTATTGAGATGCGTACAGTTGTATACAAAAGTGTTAAAATTGAACTGACAAATATTGTTTTATATAAATAAACAACATTCCAGTGGGAAATGTAATTATTTTTACCTATTTGAACAATTTAAATTAGTTACTTTTATACCTTGATCTTAATCGAGGACAAAAATGACTAAATAGTCATTTTTAAGTATATATGTAATTCCAGAATATGTAATTCTAGTAAATACTAGAATTACATATTCTCTAGTATCGACTTTTATAATTTGTATTTATCTATATCTGTACAAATATTATAAAGAGGAAAGATTTGTATTTTTATATTTTTGTATGTATTGAAATAACCCAAAAACTACTGGGCCGATTTTAAAAATTCTTTCACCGATAAAAAGGTAATTTATCTGTGAGTAACATAATGCTACATTTGTTTTTTAATTTCACGCCAGTGAAGCCGCAAGCAATAGCTAGTTTCTCATAAAATTAATAACTTTTATTTTCGACTGTACTACCGAAAAGTTCCAGTTCTCGGGTCTGATTTTAACGAGGAAATATATCGGCCTAATTGAGATTACACCTCGTGCAGTTGGGCTCCAAAAACTCATGTCGTTATCCCATAGATGGCGCTGATTTATTAAGACATCTTCTGAATAGACAGCTCGAAAGTGGAGCACTCGGAATGACGGATATTTTTCAACCGATTCTCTTCGTATTGGTCAATGCTGAAATAAATGACAAAATACTGACATTTTTGATTTGTAAGATAAGTGACTTGAGAAAATAATAGTTTATCATCTTATTATTATTATAAATGCGAATATACAGATGGATGTTTGTTAAGCTGCCTAAACTGCTGAACGGATCTCGATGAAACATAGGCTACTGGCTTTTGTTTTTTTTTTAATTATTTTTTAATATCACGTGGATAGAGTCGCGGAGAAAACTAATGAATATGTTGTTCCCTACAAGTAATTACATTATTTTGTATGGAATGGATAAATGTTCTTAGCATTAGATCTAATTAGATTATAAAATCTCTTAAAGTTTTATTTTCTCCCTTTCTTTTGTAATGTGCATTGATATTTACTTAAATTTTTAATGAATGAATTGAAGCTTAGGCGACTTAAATTTTTAAGTTAAAAATAGTAATTCCTATGTTTCCGTGACATTTTTAATGATTGTGTTTACGCATAAATTTATTTCCTTAATACAAGCGCTACGGGTGTTTAACGGAGATAAATTGTCTATCGTAAAAATTAAAATAAAAAACAATAGATGTGACATTGCTTCTATTAAATATTTATAAGCAAAATTGCATTAAATGTCACATTTGAATGTAACGATCAACTTGATAATGTGTCTATTAACATTCTAGAAAACCACTTCAATATTCTCTAGAGCGTTGTTTTTTATAGAAATAAGAAAATTTATGATTGCGCTAATTCTACATAAAATGTGATTTATTTATTACTGGCAACCCGCTGATTTTTTATTCGATTTTATCAATGTTAATGCTCTTTATAAGTGTGAAATATTAAAACATGAAAATTGACTGCGTTTAGACAATTTCGGTTTTGGTTACAATTTTTTTGATAAATAACCACCGTAGAAACGTCGAAGTACATAAATAAATTTCAAGATATATGTGAACGAAGAAATTCAAATATCTAACTAATATTGTAAATGCGAAAGTTTAGATGGATGGATGTTTGTTAGAGTTTGTAGCCTAAACAGCTTAACGGATGAAATTTGGTATAGATGTAGAGGATAGTCTGGAAGAACGCATAGGCTACTCACTTTTGTTTTTTTTATTCCAAGCGGACGGAGTCGCGGGCGACAGCTAATATGAAATAAATCCGCAGTGGTTGAATAAGACCTAATCACGAGTCACATATACTCCGAGCCGTTAAATGAGATTCAAACATATAGAGAAGGCATAGACACTTAATTTGAAACATTTTTTCACATAATCATCACTAACGCTATCTATTGATACATCCTCAAAAGCACATATCTATTTTGTAACTGTTTAGTGTTTTTTATAAATAGTAAAATGATATAGTACCTTTCAGAGAAAGTACCGCTGAAATTTTGTTCACTATGCCTTGTCTATGCATTATTTAAATGTCTTTGGGATAAACAAAATCTGTTGTCACATTTGTTTTGTCAAATTCAGAATAACAAAGTCATAACATACAAAATAGAGTTTCACAACACGTTTCAAAAGTCACAATAATAAGATTCTTATTCAATTTCCGTTAATACCTAAAAGAGTACCGAAATGAAAATTACGAGAGGCTGTGACAATTTTTTGCGCGATTCTCCACAGCAGTGCGTATATTTAATATTTTCGTTCAAAATAATTACTGGTTTGTCGCAGTGGGCATTAAACGTCATATAAAATGCGTGAAAGACAACTCGAGATATTTCGATTCAACGCTTTATTGTACGTAATGTCCGTTCTTTGATTGCTTTTAAAATTTTATAGATATTTTTATTGAATATCTTTTTGTACAAAATCAATAAATTAAACTACCTAGTTTGACTTTGTTGATTTTTACAATATTTTTCCGGTTGTTTTTAAGCAAAATTACAAAAAAAATTAATGGAAAATAAATTTGTTTTGAGAGTAAAAAGTGACCCATTCAAACACAGCTCGATGACTACGTTGTAAAGCCAGCTACACACTTAGTACAGTATAGTACAGCTATATACTTAGTACTTAGTTACAGCTTAGTTTTATCTGAACAGTCTAATCTTTCAGATAAAAACAAAATCGAAAACTGTACTCTTCTCAATTTCGCCTACACACATTAGTTATCTAAACTATCCGACTGTTAAAACTGGCATGTGTAGCGGGCTTTACAATGCTCGTGTTTGAATATGTCACTTTTTACACTCAAACTTTATTTTCTATTAACTTAAAAACTAAATGCCTTACAAATAAACGCGGTATAAAGTTAAAGTTAAGAATAAACTAGCAGCAAATTAGTACAAATTTTGCTTTCACTCAGTTTAAACCGTGTTTAGTAAGGCTGTTAGCGTCTTTAATTATAAAACTGAATGTGTGTAGAGGGCTTTAATATTATAATTGATAAGATATTCAGGTGTCAAAAAAAACTAATCGGATTATGTGACATCATACGAATTTTTAAAATTATAAGTGTATCATTAATAATAGATATCCTAAAGGTTACTGGAAATCGGAATTTTAAAAATGCAATATACAGCGACACCTAATTCATTATTTA